GTGTACTGTATATTTCGTTTTTCAACTTTCACCCCAAAATAACATCAAACATTTACTTTTCATATTTCAATCGTTAATCAAATAGATCTTTAGTATTATTTTGGGTTTTGAAATCTTAAATCGAAACACTGTATCCAAAATTTTACATGTCTCTTAAAAGCGGCAGTCTAGGATTTCTCAGAGTTTCATTGATGAAAGTGTGCTTAATAATACAAATCAAACCCTAAATTGTTATTAAACACCCCACTTATCAAATGTCTGAAGTTTTCAAATCAAAATATTGAGCCTTGCTTAACAGGAATTTCACTGTTCATTGACTTGGTAATCGCATTGATCATTTATATCACAATAACTGGCAATTTAAATAGACATTATTTTGGATAGTTGCCCAGGATATGGATAAAAGGTTTCTAAGAGGTTTCACACAACCATTTGAAAAGTATAAATTTAATTTGAACACAACTTACAACCAGGGTGATATTCCAAATTAGATGATACTTTTTAAATAACACTGAATTCACACAAAAATCACCAGATCCCATATGTATTATACACAGGGAAGGGTTGCTTACTCCTTGAACATCAGATGCCACTTCTCATTTGATGCCTTCATATACCTAACAATTTTTTGTTGTACAATTGCATTACTTTAAAGACTAACGTTTAATTTCAGTTTCATCTGATCCTTGATAAATTCATTAATTATGACTTACAGTGTGATATTCCAACAATTAAGTGAGGATATATTTAAATTGATGCCTTATATTAGTTAGAAATATGTAATATAATAATTAATGTGACTGTATACATATAAATTATGATGGATGATGTTGAACACTAATTGATATTTAACTTCCTATACCCATCTACAATCTATTTGAAGCCCCCAAGATGAAGATATGTGGTTCCACAAATTATTCAAAATAGGTTTTTAGGCAAGTTGTCTGAGCAGTCCATAACTCCACTGAAAATTATCAAGCATAACAACCTACATAGTAATTATAAAAATAACTTGAGTTTTTCCATGTCAAGTGGACCAAATTCTTAGAAAGTTGCCAGGTGACCTCCACAGAAAGTTATGAAAGAAATATGTGCTATATTATGTAAAATTGCAAAATGAAAATGAAATGAAATGGGGTTTAACATCCTACTGATCTGCCCCTATACTGGGCTAATGAAGACGGGCATAAGCCATACAGTGTGCTATGAGGGAAATTTTGCCCGGGCAGCGGCACTATTGCCTACTCTTATATCGAATTCCAACTGCCAAGGGATCTTTTACGTGCATTCCAATGAATACACAGGACCTCTGTTTTCCGTATCATCTGAAGAACTAGACAGCAGTCCTTGTCAGGCCCTCCATCCTGCATCAGTGACAAGGGGGAACCACGCTGGAAAATCTGGATGAACTTTCTCGGCCAATACAAGGATCGAACACACGACCTCCAGGCTAGTGAGCCAGTGTCTACCTACTTAGCCATGTGATCCCCGGAAAATTGCAAAGTTATATGACTGAGATATGACCTTTCCAATAGGGGTACCCTTTCGCAAGTTTTGGAACTACTATTCTAGGACTCGATTTTGGTGTTCTGATTTATTCATTCTATATCTTGAAATTTTGGGGTTTGTAAGAGAATGTTACATAGATTAAGAATTCACCATGAAAGTTTACAGAACAAGTACTGTCAACTGTGTATGGAGTACCTTAAGTGCCAAAAATAGATAAGAGCAAGCTCATGGCCATGCATAGCTTCTATAACCTGTATTTTAATAGTTTTTCAGTAATCCTCTAATTATGTACACTAGCCAACTCATTCATTTAGAAGTATAAATTTTTGGCACTTAAGACACAGTTCAAAATACTTGTACCGCAAAATTAGATGGTGAATTCTTTATCTATATAATATTCTCTTACAAACCCCGGGGATCACGGTGGCTAAGTGGGTAAGGCGCTGGCTCGCTAGCCTGGAGGTCGGGTGTTCGATCCCTGCATTGGCCGAGAAAGTTCATCCAGATTTTCCGGCGTGGTTCTCCCTTGTCAGTGATGCAGGACGGAGGGGCTGACAAGGACAGCTGTCTAGTCGTTCGGATGGGACGAAAAACCGAGGTCCCGTGTACACATTGGCGTGCACGTTAAAGATCCCTTGACAGTTGGAATTCGATATAAGAGTAGGCCGTAGTGCCGCTGTCCGGGCAAAATTTCCCTCATAGCACACTGTATGGCGTATGCCCGTCTTCATTAGCCCAGTTCGGAGCAAAACAGTAGGACGTTAAACCCCATTTCATTTCATTTCATTTCTTACAAACCCCAAAATTTCAGAAATATTGTCTAACTCGATATCTCAGTCAATATTAATTATGGAGTCATATAACCTTGCAGTTTTACATAAGTTTGTATGAACTATAACATTTTTTTTTTTTCATTATATTCAAAGGAGGTCACCTGACAAGCACTGGTTCACTTGACATGGAATGACTCATTTATTATACAAAACATGTACTTGTAATCAGATTATAACTTTAGCTGTACCAGTTATCAGAAATCATCTTCTGCACAGATACACTGTGTATAAATTTCAAATCAATCACATAACTTTAACCAGTGGTGGTTGCACAAATTTTTTAATTACAGGTGATCAAGGATAATAAAAATAAGTGATAACAACTTTTTAATCTCCTGTATAAACCTAAAGAAAATCGAAAAGTAAATCTAACTCTAACATACTCGACAGCACACACAAGTTTTCTTTAAAGTGATTAAGGGCAATAACTTAGGGAGTACTAAAAATCAATATGCTTCCTTGTTGGAAATAATTACTGCATATAAATTTCAACTGGATAATAATTTTAGTGTTTAAATTTTCCACAAGATTTTTCCAATCGATTAAGGGTCTCACTATTACACAGACATATATAACATCCCAGTGTTATAGTAAGCTCTTTTGTATAATAATATATAAGTATCTCACTAGAATATTTATAGTTGTGGCTGTTGTTTGTCTCGTTCATGATAGAAGAAATAACTTAAAATGGGATCAAGAGCAATAACTCAGGGAGTAATTATGTTTCCTGAAATAAACTTCAACAACCAAACATTGAAAGTGCAACCAAACCAAATGTGCATTAGGCCAAGGTTATTGTGAGAATAGGAGAAACCACTAACCAAGGTTATCAAGAAGCCTGAAAAAAATCAGAGGCTCTCACAATTCAATTAATTACTATTTTATTTTATGGACTTGTTTTCATTAAATATAATTTGTCCTGGCCTCATCAGCTACTTCATATGTAAATTGTAATGCTCGCACAAATATTTGAATGTTAGTAGATATTGAAAGCTATTCAAACTGATATTTTAGTATACTGGTGTTTAGCATACAATTAAAACTAATGGAAATTGCTGTTTTTGTCTATGAAATATCTAAAAATACCTATTCAATAGATATTTCATATATATATATATATCAAAGGAATTGACAAATTTATAATTTCTAGAAATGTACTCATTACAGCCCCAAAAATTGAGCATTTCAGTTGAATTAAATATCTAAATAACAATGATGACATAGCATTCATGTGACCTCAAGTACAGGAAATGCTGGAAAGTTAACTCTTAGATATAAGCAGGTTAGTTGTATTATCTTAATCTTTATAATAAAAGCAAAATTTACAAAAATAATGAGGTTAGTTATCTATACTGCCCAATAATCTTACAGTTATAATTATTACACATTAAAATCATAATGATGAGGTTATTTTGTGGTTATACTATTTCTGATATAATTAATTATGCTGTATGGAAATTAAACAAAAGTACAAAATTTGATAAACAAAGTAATTTACAAAGTATTGTGCAGACTACGTGAAAAAAATGACTTCAATTTATTGTGAGAGCAGTAGAAGGATGAAAAGGATGGAATAGTTCCTATTGACAGGCCTGAGCAAATTGGGTGACTTACAGATATCTACAGTATGGTAATCATACTGAACCTATTTCTACATAGCTATCTAATTGGACAGACATCTGAAGTTGTGTGTGATGACCCGGTAACCAAGTCCCAGTAATTACAATTCACTTTCAGTGATTGTGGTCTCCTGTTTACTGTGGTTATTGATAGTCTATTAGTCCGGGTGTCAAGTGGCATTTTTCTCCTAACCCACTTTTATTTGATATCCTATTTTTCTCTGTGGATTATTGTTCTATAGTGTCCCCACAATTTTTCTAGTGGGGATATATTCATGTCACCCTTGGGGAAACTCAGAAATCCAAGATGGCAGCTAAAAATGGCGAGAAAAATATAAAAATTTGATTTTGTCACTATTAAGGCATGTAAGATATCTATTTATATGTTTTCGAGGCTGCTGAGCACGAATCTGAAATCGATTTACCAAACAGACCCCCTAGCAAATTTTATTATTATTTTTCTCGCCATATTTGAGTTCTAAGTTTCCCCAAGGGCGATATGAACACACCCACCCTAGAAAAATTGTGGGGACACTATAGAACAATAATCCACAAAGAAACAAAAGTATATCAATTAAAAGTGGGTTAGCTGCCCTGACTATATGTAAGCTAAGCTAGGCCCAAACTGGGTCCCAAGGAAAATCAGTGTATTGCCTGATGACCCGGGGACCAGGCTCCATGTAATGGAAGGATTAATAATGTTCAAGAGGCTTTAGTGCTTTGGAGATCTTAGCCTATGACACCAAATAGTCTATTACCCGTTAGTTTCTTGGATTGTTTTATTTTTCTTTAATAATAATAATAATCTACAATCCTGCACATCGATTTAGTAATTCAACTCTTTTTTTTGACCCCCACTGAAATTTTGAACAAAGACAGAAACAAACCAATATAAAATGCAATCAAAATCGACAATTATAGTTTTGACACAAATATAGAGGGTCTCAATTTTATTTCAGAAAAAATATTGTATGCCGAGGGTGTTGCTCAGACCTGGGAATAGAAAAGGGTTTGGGTTTTTTTTTCACTATTTACCCACCTGACGACTGGTAAACTAGCCCGTCTGCCCGCTATCCATTTCTCCATGATACTGATAAATCAAATAATATAACAACATGCAATATTATATATAAAACATTCACCATATTAAAGCCTCAATGTGCCAGAAGGCTTATTTTCCTTATTTAAATTTAACATAATAAAGAGTTGAAAAATGTACTTTAGATAGTAATTTTGAAGATTACCGGTACCACAAATAACCCCACCCTACATATACCAGTTAGGTTAACTGCAATTTTGAAATGAATTATTCTTTCGGCATCAGTAACAATAAAGATACTAACGTAAAGTCAATAAAAAGTCATGTGAACTTTAGACTGCCGTAACTTCTCTATTAGCATTGATTGATTTGAATATTCTGTATTTGCCTTTGGAATATTGGGTCTTTATTAAACATAATATACAATAATATATCATTCACCATATTAATACAACTTATACAAAATCAAGCCTGGAAATAAACTGTTTTTCATTAAACACTTCCCCTACTGTAAGTCATTATGCCAGGTACAGATTTGACTTTGTATGTGGTTTACTGATATTATAAAATCATATCAAATACAAGTCAATACTGTCTGGTATAATTTTCTAATTATTGTACCTGAAAATTTGAATTGTTACTTCCTGGCCTGATATCATTCACCATAGTAAATACAACAACCATAACCCCATTCCATTATTATATTACAACAAAAAATTTACATGCACTCTCAAAGGTGATGATAAAAAGTCATACTGTTGCATTTTTAAAACTATTTATTATTTATTAGTTTCTACCATGCTCGATCTGTCATCAAACAAATTTCATTAAAAGTACTTTATCATTAAATTTTGGCTTGCAAATAAGACAATACTTTGTTGAATCCCAGCACTGTTGTGCAAATTATTTCATTTTTTAACAAATTAGCAGGCCTTATAGTGTAACTGTCAATATAAACAAATAAGCAGGCCTAATGTAATGTTATTAAAGTAACTGTCGATAAACAAATAAACAAGATGTGATGTCAATAAATGAGCAGTTGGGCCTACATGTTATAATAATAGTCTTCATATTGCTACAGTAGTTGAAAGCAGATGTCAACATATTAATTAGTAACTGGATCAGTTGTTATATGTATATATCATATTATAATAATAATAGTTCTTAAATTATGGTCTGGGTAATAATATATAATAATTATCTTGCAAATGGATCAATACCAAATATACAATCTGTTCCACAGCGGTAATACGAAGGCCTTTAAGTTATATGCAGTATAGGTCTATGACATCACACCATACAGCGCCGATTGTTTACTCATTTCATGCCTTGAATCAGTATGCACTAAATAGGAAATATTTTTTATCCAGATTTATTTCCTACACCCTTTTTTGTTAATAATTTAAAAAATTGTTCTCAAATTTAATTTGGAGAAGAAAAAAGCTAATTAACTCGGTGATAGTGGCTGCCAAGCAAATTTTTACTGCTGATCAGTTTGCGAAATATACTTTATTAAACAAAACTAGTTAACCATCATGCAACAAGAATTCTAATACAAGCACTTCAGGAATAGAAATATAGTTTGAGATCATTCTAAAACTGATCCCTTTTGTCTGGTGAATATGCTCTGATAATAGCTATACCTCTTTAACAAAATACTTTTAAAACCCCAAAGTTTGACAGGTTGTCATTTAAAGGTGATAATAGATTTTACACCCTGCTATCCCAGCAATATGCTCATACCCCATTAAAATCATTGACTTATTTTATAAATAAAATTTAGATCTGCAAAAGATCAATCTGACAGAATATATTTTTAAAAACCCATAATTACCTTTTATTTCTAAATCTGTGTGATTCCAAATTTTCTTTTATGTTTAGAATAAAGATCTAGACACCAATATGGGTTCCAAATTGAAGGGATATTAAAATAATTTTTTGGAAATTTAAAACTTTATAATCATGCTAAACAAAATTTTTGAAGGAAAAAGCTGTAACAGGGATTATCTCCCTTTAGTCTTCAACTTCTCAATATTTACATGAACAGTTTGATATCCAGTAATCAATTGGCAGGTCATAACTTCTATTATTTAATATAATCTTAAGTTATGGATACAGAAACAAATCTTTACAACATTAAATAGGGCGGCCCATGAGGGCTTATCTCTTCATACTATAAATGTGATACTCTCCAAAAGTCCAAAGCTATCTCTATTTAACTGGGCTTATGAAGACCGGAGGGCTGACTGACAGTGAACAAGCCAACATTGAGGCTGATGTCCCCTGCCGATATCCCAAAATAAATAGATGACACATACTAATTAATTGCAAATTTATCTTTTTGAAAGTATCAAACAAACAAACTGATTATCTAATCTTGGTCTATGCAGAAAATGTTCACGATCGAACTCAGTCAATGTTCGATCACGACTCTCCATAAGTTAGAATTACAACCAAAGTAATCATGTTCCAAATTCTCAACCAATCAAATTAGTAGAAAATGTGCAGGATTGAACACTGTCAAGGCATTCACCTAATAAACACCTACACCAAGTTTAAACATTCTACCTCAATTAGAAGGGGAGTTATTGTGTGCGACGGACAGACGAACAGAAACATTTTAAGTCCCACCATTCATAGTCTTTGTTATGAATTGCATTGCACCTTGCAAATTTTAATCAACAATATATATATATAGGGTTGTTGTATATAGTGGTATACAGTAGTTTTCAAGATTTTCTTCAGCGTGGTTGACCCAACTTTCAAAATGACTAAAGGGAAATAACCCATTTTTTAAAACAAATAATTGATATGAGTCATTTGAAAAGAAATCAGTGGGGTGTAATGTCTCATTAACATATAGCTTAGGCCATTTTGATGCTAACACTGTATTTTATTTTTCTATGGTTATGTGTGCAATGTGAAAATTTAGCCTTGAAAGCCTATCTGCCTCATTGTCTTCCAATTTGAGCTGCCAATGGATTAAACAAGCTGACTTCTGCTTATTCATTGGTAAAAAAAAATTTCTAGGAGAGTAAATTTACAATAGAGATTAAGAACTCCAGCAAATGGCAGTTAGGCCTAGACTCTGTTTAATTAGTGTCCATTCCAAAGATATGACTTCATTTTCCAATGTTCTTCCCTAGAAGTGGACCTTCTTGTCATTTGTTGGCAGAGTTCTCTGGTAATATTTGTAATTTGGCAGAGTTCTCTTGTAATATTAGTAATTCAATACTAGGATTTTTATTCATTTTAATTCAAAAAGGAAAAGCTATTTATGTGTGTGACTATATTAGTTTAATAAAGAATAATAAAAGAATGTTTTGTTCAATATCTTTTGGCTGAATGTGAAAACAATAGTAGTACATATGTATAATGTAAGATTCTTGTCGTTTGGGTTCATATTCCCCTTTATAACAAAAGTTATAGTGGTGAGCCAAGATAAGAAGGTTTTCGGGGATACATCTCTGACCTTTTGTACATTTGATGTTTGAAATCTTAGAATAAAAATTGTGATCTGTTGACTCTTGTAGATTGTCCACGAACTAATTGTGGATGGACGTCCGGAATGACAGTGGTGATGAAAGGCATATTGGAAGCCTAGCTTCAATATTTGTAGCCATGCTAATTCTTATTCGTGGCTACAATTGATACACTATTCAAGGCTTTGCACAAGTAAAATTATGTTTAATTGCAAAATTTTCAACACATATCATCACAGTTTGAATGGAAATAAGTAATTATGTTACAAATAGTGAAGAGTGGAATACTTAAATCTTAATCTTTATCGCAAATAAAATTTCATGCGAGTATAGCATGTGCGCGAGAAGTTACTCCCACCTCCTGAAGGGGTTTGGCTCTCCTTAAATAATTAGTTTAAATTTGTTGTAATATGCATTCTCTATTTAGTATTCTTTCCATAAGCATGTCTGTGACTATTATTCCCCTGATAATAACCATGATTACATGGCTGAAGAATATAAATCATTTTCTGAATACAAAACAGTTTCTCAAAAACTGAATATTTGAGAGAATAAATTGAATGTTAATAAAATTCTTTAAAATCTGTTTCTGCATCAAATATTCATAATTACCATCATTATTCAATCATTACCGTCTCAAACCCAGAATTGCCTGATCTAATATAATTAAAGTCCACTGCACACAGGGACTCAAGATTTTCTTTGAAATGAGTTTAAAGATTCATTATGTAAGGTTTAGATCAAGAGCTGAAGTTGGACGTAGATCATTCATTATTGTAGCTACTTGACAACCGAGAATTAGCCTCAACTGTCCATTTAATTTTTATTCGCGGGGGCCGGGGGGCTGTATCATAAGGTCTGTCACTGAGTCAACTGGCGTGGTTTCCATTCCCCAGTTGTATGTGATTGTCGCCTGTCCAACCTTGTGGGTTTTCTACGGGTCCTCCGGTTTCCTCCTTCCCATGTGTTAGTCCCGAAATGACCTAGTTTGTGTCCAGTGGAATTAAACATACCTCTCTCTCTCTCTCTCTCTCTCTCTCATTTTGAAGCCAAAAAGAAGGACTTCCCATAGGCAGATTTAGTTCTTAGTTCTTTAAAGTGCACACTGAGAGTTAGAAGTGCAATTATTACAACGCAATTATTTGACTTCAGTTGTTCGGTGACATAAAACATACTTGTTTGATTTTCCCAAAAGCTCTGTGGGCCAAGTTTTAATATTTTTGAATTAAAAAAACAAAACATGACTTATGTGAGGCTATTTGTCAAGATCCTGATTAACTACCAGTAATTTATTTGGCTTTAGGTTCTAGTTCTTGAGGTTTGATTGAAGGATGTTGTCTTTATTGTACAAAATGTCTACACTGCAATAACTTGATAAAATTATCAACACGGTTTACTCAACGTCTTTTACCTACCCCAGTATAAAAACAGAATTACAAGGAAGATTCATTGTGTTCAGCAAAGATGAAATCTAATTACAGGCTGACCAAATTAATTATTGATTCCACTCAATTTAACATTTTCGCTAATTCAAGGTTAGTAAATTAAATTCCGAGGTATGTCAATCAATATAGATTATAGGTTATCACCCATCAAACTTAAAATTATTAAAGATGCATTATGTGAGATTTAGATACAGAGCTGGGCATTTTTGATATTATAGTTTTGAAATAGATCATTAGACAGGCGGTTGCCATGCAGGTTACGCCCACATTTTACAAGAAATGAAATGAAATGAGATGTAACGTTCCACTGTTCTGCTCTGACTAGGCTGATGAAGACGGGCATATGCCATACAGTGGCACTGCGGCCTACTCTTATATCGAATTCCAACTGCCAAGGGTTCTTTTATGTGCATGCGTATGTGTACACGGGACCTGTTTTTAGTTCCATCCGAATGACTAGACAGCTGTCCTAGTCAGGACCTGCGTCCTGCATCACTGACAAGGGGAAACCACGCCGGAAAATCCCAATCAACACATTTTACAAGAGATGGACAGAGAACACACTAAAAAAAACACGATTTTAAGTACAATCAGAGGTTATAATCCAGTACAGTCTGATACGCGCAGGTATTGAAAGGAATCCAGATCTTTGGAATATAAAGATATATTTTAAGTTTCATCAAAATTGGATAAAAATTGTGACCTCTAGAGGGACTACAACCTTGGTATTACATATAAATGTATTACACTATTTGCATACAGGGTGCGGGCCATTCTCTCAGGCAGTTTTGGTCCGATTTTCATGTAATTCGAACTCTGCCATTATTAGGGTGTAACAGTGATATATTTAAACAGTTTTTAAAATCAGATAATAACTGTGGCCTCTAGAGGAACCACAAGCTAAAAATGCAATTTTTTGTACAATTAGGGGCCATCTGATATGTGTGAATATTGAAAGGAAGCAAGATTTTTGGGTTATAACCATACATGAAAATGTGGGCATATAAAAATCAAAATTTCAGCCAAATTACTTTGTTCTTGGAGAAGTTATGACCATATAGTCTCGACTGTCAATAACCATTGCTATGATAATAAACAAAGTCTTGATTATCCATTTTTGCATTAAATTATTAAACGGCGATTGTGTTTTAATCCGTTTACAATGAAGGCCATCGAATGTTCTAGAGAGTTGATTATGAATAAATGTCTGATTAATAATTTATATATTTGAAGGCAAAAAAAAAAAGCATGCAATAGGCAGATTTAGATCTTACATAATGCATCTTTACACAAGAAAGTTATAGATCTGGAATATTATAAAGATTAAATTTAAAATTCATCCATTGAATTGTCATGCTATTGAATAATATTCCCATGGTAATGGAAAAGAAGAAATTGACTTGATTTTGTAAATTTGATATTCTAAAATAAAATTTAGATGAGAAAATTTTCACTTGTGTGAGAAAATTTTCACTTGTGTGAAAAAGACAGGTAAGAGGTTTAATATTTCATCAAAACATGATCAGTTCCTAACATGTAGTATTCAAAATCTGAGATGCAGGAGCAGAGTTCAGAAGGACTTCTATAAAATTCAAACCGTAGATCCTTCTTGATATAGAATGATAAACCTTGATAAAATTATACATACACTCCAGTCAAAGGATATTCAGGAATAGCTGTTTAGAGGTTCTCCATTATGGCAGTATATTAGATTCAAAATTTTATTGTGCTATTGTCTAACTTCTATTCATGCAATTTCTAATCTAAGACAATGTATAATCTAATTTCTTTATTTGTTTCTCATAAATGGGGCTTATAATCTTGCAATTTCCATTCTATTTCATGTTATTTCTATTATTGAAAAGAAATTTATACTCTTCATCTTCATTGAAGCTTTATTTTTTTAGAATGAACATTGAATAAATTAAGAATTTTGATACATCTACCTTAGCAACCATCATTATGACGTTGTTTGGTGTCCCCACCCACTGCATGCGCAATAATTCTGAGCTATCACTGCTCATTCAGAGTTCTTTGGTTAACCGGTTGTTAAAAATATATTGATATTGAGTGTGGTTTTGGCTAATAAAAACTGTTACTTTTTGGTACTAACAATTATTCTGTGTGCTCTGTACAGCTATTATTATTAATTTTAAACCAAAATACTACATTGCGGATAGAAAAGACAACGGATATACCCCATGCAGTACAGTGTGCTATGACTACTATGAGGAAAATTTTGCCCTGACAGCGGCTCTACGACCTGCTCTTATTTCGAATTCCAAATGTCGGCGGATCTTTAGCATGCTGTAGCTAGTGTTATACATCAAAGCCTCAGGCTTTGACAGGCTCAATGGAGATTATGCTGGTTGCATCAAAAACCAAATTTAACAAAATACTGATGGGACTCATGGGCAGGCAACTTTGTGCCTCATTTTGTTACTGATCTGTTTCTTTATACACTATGTTTTGCTAGGTCAATTTTAATAATAGGTAAATGAAATAGGGTTTAATGTTCTACTGTTCTGCTCCGACTGGGCTAATGAAGACGGGCATATGCCATACAGTGTGCTATGAGGGGAATTTTGCCCGGACAGCAGCACTACGACCCACACTTACATCGAATTCCAACTGCCAAAGGATCTTATATGTGCACGCCAATGTGTACACAGGACCTTGTTTTTTCATCCCATTCGAATGACTATACGTTGTGCCTTGCCAGGCCCCCTTTCCTGCACCAATGACAAGGGGGAACCATGCCGGAAAATCTGGATGAACTTTCAATGCAGGGATCGAACACCCACCCTCCACCGTGGCTCCCAAATGACAGGTATATAGTTCTAATTAATAAAACAATATTAGCAGTAATTAACCAGGGCTATATCCGATTCAGGAAGCTGTGCCCCAACCCGCCTCCTCCCAATCTATTTTGGCTTTATTGATGAAAACTTAAAACTAAATTATGTATATTATATGGATGAGTTCCTTTCTTATTGGTTGAGGGTTAAGATAATCGAACAAACATTAACTTTCTTAAATTATTTTAGTTAGAAATTTTGTGATTAAGATCAGTGATCAAAGTCTTTTATACAGAATTTTCAGGCTTTGATTAGTAGGTTGATCTGGAGTTGACCCACACTGATCAGCAGTGAATATTCGCTAGGCCGCGACAATAACTGATAAGGATGACATCGATGCGACTTAATGAGTCACAAATATTAACTTTTTTCCTCCGACAAATTGAATTCTAAAACATTTTTTTTTATGTATTAGAAAAAATAAATAAAGACGTTTGACGTATTTGTAGTTAAAAATTATTTCCTATTTAGTGTAAATTGGTATTAAAATGAGTAAAATGCTTCATTTCGCCCGTACCAGTAAGGTTTATGTAAACAATGCACGCGCCATTGAGCCAATGATTGACGCCGCATGATGAAAAGTCACGTGTTGAAGGTAGTCATCTTTTACAGAGATATTAGAAGACTTTCGTAATCCTCTGTGAAACAGATTGGAGTTGACCAATCTGCGCATTACTGAAGGTTTTGAATCACCGAATTAATAAAATCCTCATTTTCCTGGTACATTAATCATATTACTAAACTAGTTCGTTTTTGTATAAATAGAATTTGACAGGTACTCAATAGCTGACTTTGAACCTAAGAAAACTAAAATTTTGCATGGGATAGGAGCTGATATTGTTTTAATACTATTATTACTATTCAAAGACAACTTTCAAATTTATATTATAGTACAAAATTATAAGCTTATAGCTTTTGGAAATGGTTGATAATCAAAAGGCTTCTTTGTTCAATTTGGTCAACCAAATAACTCCGAATGCATGAGCCGCTTATATCAATGATCTAGTGTTCTCAGTAATTGCGTGGATGGATGCGCCATCTACACGAAACTAATAAAAAAGTTTCAATTATATATTGTCAGTAGAAATTACTGAATGCCATTCAAAGAATACATGATTAGAAGTTAGACGATAGCGCCATAATCCATTGCACACAACATCAGGCCTTCATACATCCTCTCATTTCACAACCTGCTGACATACAGAGTTACTATTCTTTCTTGTGAGGAAGGGGGGGGGGGGGTGAGGGAGTGGGGTGACCAGGCAGTAATATTTCTGATCAGCACTGATAATCATATAGAAAATATATTGTCCTAAAACCCATGACAATCCTACCTTGCCCACTCAACCACTGGTGGCTTCTCAAATTAACAAACATCTGAAACAATTTGGTGAGAATTCTTCAGTTCTGTTTCATGTATATGCCTAGTGTGTAGGATAGTACAAACTGACTAAACATGGTTCACATTTTTAAAGTACTTTTCTGTATTTTTGTTTGACCCAAACCAAAGAGATCTAGTCATTTAAACACAAAATATTTGTGACTTACATGGTAGGAGTATTAACTTTTACTGCTAACACTCCTCTAGCTGACCGTATACTATCGGCAGAAACGTCGAAAGATTGTCTTCTTCGTTGTACTACATGATTATAATAATAAGGATCTGTAATAACAAATTAGTGTTTTGTGCAATAACAAACTGCTGGCTATTATAGTATTAACATATCACAATTCAAAAATATTTTACAATGTTAAAAAGGCACAACAAGCCTGAGTTTTCACTATTTAATTTGGATTACATTCAAAAATATTTTACAATGTTAAAAAGGCACAACAAGCCTGAGTTTTCACTATTTAATTTGGATTAAATATTTACCCCATTTTAGTGCAAAGTTGCCCTTATTGATTTTTTATGTCTACTCTCTCCGCTGACATCGTTTGATCCAGCAGCAACACAGATCTACAAGCCTGTCCAGCTTCTGATACTATTTTAAGCGAGTGTTGCTGTTCCCCCTCCCCATTTCTTGTTATATTTTAAAGTGATAAGTTCACGTTTCCTGTATTTTGAGTATTGAGAATGTGAATCAACCTAAATGAATGTTCTTAAAGCTTCGTATCACCCAGTGTGGCAAATGTCTTCACGTGTTCCTACCTGGTACTTGTAAAAATAGAGGTTGATCCGTGCTGGTTGATGGTGTTGGTGTCCTGGGATCAGATAAATCTACAGCACTGTGAGAATAACCAGTTGTACCAGCTGATCCTTCTTCCCCATGCCCTTGACCTGTAAAACACAAAAAGGAACTCTATTTGAAATTTGAAACTCTAGATTTCTCAGTTGGTACTGTCCACAAAATTCCAGAAACCCTCACTGAATGTTGATCCATAAGAAATTATCATTATTTTGCTGTTAATTATGCATCCAAATTTTAAACTCTGTATGTCAACATGCCAACCCGAACCTTCTAGGCACTGGCTTTATTTTGACACTATTCTTGTGTGGTGACATAGTATTAGGTAAATTAGTTATGAAAGGGCACGCAAGCTAGTGGAACCCTACTAATAAACGGGTACACTAATAGTGATAAAAGGAAAAATAAGTTATTCTATATAATCAAAATTAAAAATATGAAGATCAACATCAATATTCATATGAACAGATTACACAGGATACAACTACGAATATCATCAATCTTTCAGTTAGAATCAAACTATTTTGGGCTAAAGCATCAAAAAAGCATCTGCTGAACCTAAGGACAAAAAGGTCATTATCTCAGTCAAGGCATTCACCTTATAAAAACCTACACCAAGTTTGAACATTCTACCTCAATTAGAAGCAGGATTATTGTGTTCCAAATTGTGTGACGAATCCTGTTTATTTTCAGCAATATAGGGATTTCTGGTCCAGAGATATATTATGTGTCCAGAAAAATTTGTAAAAATTGAAAGCAGATTTCTTGAAAGCATCCAAGTTTTCCTTTGGATATGGTGACCAGTATCAATGGATGGCAATCTGGGTTTTTTATGGATGCTCTCTTTTTATTTTTCGAGACATAGCTATACTTTTATATTTCATGTCAATTTACAGTACGTAAGGGGATAGAGATATAATTTTATGGTTATTCCAATATTGCATAGAATGTCCATGTAAGAAATTCCTTGAAAGACTATATATTCTTAGAGGACACAAGAGATTTCTCGTGCTTTCTTAACAACATTTTAGCTTCCCTCTTCGAGACATAAAAATAAACCAATTCCCATTGAACAATACCCATCAAAAGAAATTTACTTTTTTGATGTATTTATGACAGATTCACAATTATTGACTGGGTAGAAAAATCCATATGCCATTCACTATCAGCCATACAAAAGAAAATTAATGAACAAGTCATTTTAATTTACAGAGCTGTAGAGTTGAGAATCAAGAGCAGAAGATTAGATTCTAATTCTAATCAATAATGGTTGAAATTAAAGAGAAAGGGTGGTTTTGTTTTTAGTCATTGTATTTAAAGGCACTTGTCGAGTGCCAGAATCCTGATTGAAAGTTTTTTTTTTTCTTGCGCACCTTACAACTGAAAATCGCTCCCCAAAATTGCATACTGATACTTAAACCTATTTTTCTAAGATTTTGAACAATGTTATGCCCAAAGAAATAAATATAGCCATTTTTATGACATTAGTAACCTCAGTAACAATATTTCATGTTCTTTTCAAAATCTTCTTAACTGCTATCTTCAATTCAATGTATGATCTAAATTCATTATATAGTACTGCAGGGCTGAGATACTTAAAGCAATGGGATTAATTTACCACAGCTGAAAGTGACAATTATTTGAGTCAAGAATCTAAACATAATTCTGATCAATAAAGATTATTCAAGATCCAAATTTATAGATTATGATCAATAAAATATAACTTATAAGATACAATATATAAAGCCAGTCAATGTTACTTTTAAAATATAAAACCAATCTAGAGTTTGTTGATAAAGTCCTTTTGGTAAAGTTTTCGGACACCGATAGCCAAAATATGTCAAATTAAAAGTCAAAATGTTTAAATCCCTGCTTTTGTCGCCCTTGTGATGCGATTGTGTGCAACTGGAATTGCTGACTGCTATCAACTGCACATGTTTAATTAGTTGCAAGTACATATCACTACTTGCACCTGGAATAAGCGGGTGTTTGTATCGACTCGACCGTATGCAACTGACATCACTGCCAGCAAACTAAGGTCAAAGGAATCACATGAAGGCCATGTGATTAGTACAAAATAGCAACGCTATCGTCTAAGGTAAGGACATAAATTTCTAAAAATATGTATGTGTTACTGCAGGAGAGTAAAACATGTGCTACTAACTGCAACTGGCTTTATTCACAGTTGCTTTGGAACACAATTCAATTCTATCCAATCTAACCCAATCGCACACGTCGTATCGGATCACAAAAGCTACATTACCCCCATTAAATTTGTCATGCTCCTAGTCTTGCGCCAATAATTGATGTTAAACAGTACAACTTTCTTACCAAATTTAGTTGAAATACACAATTCTGCAACACAGCTAGGGGAACAAACATGAACAAAGATGGGATGGGACACAAAATTAGACACACATATGTACACATTGGTGTGCACATAAAAGAACCCCTGGCAATAATTTCAACAGTGGTGGAAATGCTGCTGTGCCAGCAAAAACATTTCTGTTGCTTCATTCCAAGCCTTGAAATAACTACTAAGGTTCAGTCTGATATAATGTCAGGCTGAACTGATTTGCAGCCGGACAATTTCAGATTTTCAGACAGACAAATACTTTATGTATATTATTTAATATTATACCAAAACAACAAGAACTCAGTCGGCAATTCAACCTGTCAAAAGGGGTCAATTCGTCCAACATTATCTAGGTCCGGACGCTTATTCCGGGGCATGCATGCATGCAACCACTAAAATGAAAATTACATGTTTGTCTCAAAATTACAAATGTATTATAATGATGGGACATTATAAACTCCATTCTTTGGGATTTAAACTCTTTGGGTTAAAAAGTTATTTGTGATGTTCCTTGCGATTTCATCATAGAAACTGCTAAAAATTGTTCACTGAAAGAAAAAAATACTCGAAAAACAGCCCATTCAAAGCTAGAAATCTGGTGGTTAAAAGATAACAGGTTTTCTCTCTGATCTGCTATTTTATGGGGTTTTTTTTAATACCACCGCCCCATGCCTCTGTGAATATTTAATTAAATGGCAGTTATCGATTTTTATATATCTTAAGTAGTTGCTTTCCTGTATTCAATTTACAGCTAATCTCCAACAGATTGTTGTTTAGTGTAGCATTTAATTATCAATGTAATTGGTTGTAAAAATTGTAATTAATTTTATGCCACATTATATTGCCATGTTACCACAGAAAATATACTTTTTGGTAACTGGTTGCACTAATTATGTATGCCAGTAAAAGCTAAATACTTCAGAATCGACATTTATGAAAAATATCACTCGAATGAGTACTTGACCTAAATAGTAAGTCAGCTTATGTGAAATAGTTGTTTCTTTTTAATGATCATCAACCATCAAGCAATAAATACTATGCTTATTCATACCCATTCAAACAATTAGAATAGTGTAAGGTATTTCGAGAATGAACTTATTAAATTGTTTTACATTATTATACTCTTTCGGAACCAGTTTGATGTCAACCTCAAATGTCTAGAATAGTCTACTTAAGCGGCATTTACACAATACAACCAATACATACAATTGTCGGACATATTGGATGACTGTTTACACGATACAATGGTTCTGTTCATTGCATGGCACCATTATGTTCCTTCTTAATAACTCAAAAAAATGCCATTAAAGCAACACTTCTCATCCCCGTCTTTGTATCGTTTTGATGGCGCAGGTTCCAAAAAGTCCATGCTTTGTAGATATTCTGATTCTGTTTAGAATCCATTTTAAAGGACGTCAAAGTACTCGAAGCGACAGAAGAAAACATCTTTAATCAGAAATTCAGGTTGCCAAGTCAGATATGACATCATGCACCATATAATGTTGTCTAATATAATGCAATTTGATTGGCTATTGCATCAGTTGAGAATAGAACTAACCCTATCCATTCAACAAGTTATCCATTCAACCATTTGTCTGATGAGTTGGTCGGATGCGACAGTTGTATGGATTGGTTGTATCGTGTAAACACCGCTTTAGGCAATCTGATTAAAATACAGATCTATATTTCGTTTCGTTTTTTTATACTTTCGATTGCCTACACTACATGAAGATCTGACAAGTTATAGCAATAGGTCATGTCAGGGGTCAAAAGACCGACTTTTGACCTATGACTTCAGACATTTGATTAACCAATCAGCTTTGATGTTATTAGTGGATTACCCACAGTTCCGGGCAAAAAAGGTCAAACACTCGATTCGACAGACCATTTGATTAGCTGACCCCTCATTTCAAACAGAACACGAGTTAAATAACAAGTCTTCCAGATCCAAGTGTAGTAAAGACAAGTAAAATGAAATTTTGAACTATAAAAACGAAACGAAATAGGATCTGTGTTTTAACCAGATTGCCGCTTTAGGCTACTTTGTTTTAAATCTTAATTCATATAAAATTAATATCAAGTTTACAACTCCTTGCATATTTTTATGTGTTTAGGTCCTCTTTTGTATCAATGTTTTATTCAATCCTTAAAAGAACCATGCCACTGTGCCTCCCTTTCACTACACAAACACTCTTACTCTTAAAATGTTTTGGTCTGTATATGGATCCAAATCAGTATCATGATGTGAATGGTACCCTACCCTGACCCTAAAATGCCATATAGTTGTTAGAATAGCATATATCGGTTATATGTCATTGACAGTCACAATACCTATATATCTCATGCAATAGATATATAAGGTTATCCAGGCCTTTCCCACATATGGAAAGTGAAAGTTTGCATTTATAGGAAACAGTATCACAGAGGTTTACAGCACCATGATAAAGGTTAATATAAGTCTTTCACACAGGCTGGAACTTCTTCGTTAAATGCTAGATCTGTTGTAATAAAAGTAAATTTTATGATATCTAGGTTGAAAAAAAATTTCATTACACATACCACTAGTACATGTTTTATTATAAGAAGACAAAGCCATAATCCAATGTAAGTTACAAAATGACTCTCAAGGGAAAGACAAAAGGTGTAAGTATCACATTACTTTTTATTTCTGAAATAAAAGATTCTACAATAGCAAACTCTTCTACAAAAAGTTTATATAGGTACTTACCTGGGGAAGATAATCTGCTATTTGTTGAACGATTCCTTAATAGACAATCAGGAGTACTGTTCCTTCTAACCTTTTCATCATACCAGGCATCAAGCCCATCCAAAGAATTTTTCACTTTCATTTTTACCATACTCGTCACTTACGTATTTGACCACACAAGCTCTTATTATAATAACAAAGAATTTACTCCAAAGAAAAGAGTCACATAAAATTTTTTACAAATGTTTGTCTTCTTTATTCCCTTTCTTAATTCATAATACATCGACAAGATTTTGAAATGTAAATCGAATGTTGCATAGTCCAAAAAGCATAATTTTTACGGCATCAATCAATGTTGCTGTTGATAAATAAACTTAACAATTGTCAAATCATATCATTCGGCTTGACATTATATTTGCATGGCAGTTTCAACTACTGGTTCATCTGCAATGTTGTGAACATAATGTAAAATAAAATTTAAAACACTATATCAAACTTGAAAACTTCCTGGGAAGAAGATTTTAGATTTATTTCAAATCAAATCAAATAAAAAAAATAAAAAAACCAAAGTACAAGAAAAGCGCAGATAAAAAAAATACTATAGAAATAAGAAACCATTTAAAAAATGATTATTCTATTTTCTGTTTACACATAACAAACAACAAGACTGTTAAATGCAAAATTTCTTCAATTCCAGATTATTTTTAAATATAGATATGTTTACTTCTTCTACAATCTAACAGATGACTTTTACTATTTCTGGCACCACAAGATCATTCAATCACAAAATAGACAACTTTATTATAGTCCAATCATAGATCATAAGATAAACGAATAAAACAAAAACAGACCAGAAATCACTGCTTTTAGTCAATTCAGTCTACACAGAAAGTAGACAATGGTAAAATCAATACTCAAGATTGCAGAGCTTTAAAAACCATTAGACTTTTGACATGATATAAATCCCATAGTTGTACTGGCTGTTCATGAGACAGTGGTCACATCTTCCCTCAGGTGTGATATAAATAACGGTCCCAACCGTAACATTAAAACTAGATGGACCAAATCAACAGAAATTTAACCATAATCAACAAATCGGAGATCCCCTTTCTTTTCTTACAATTTCAAATATAACAAAACTACTTGAAATCTGTAAAAGCTATAGAATAATTTATAGTAAGTATTGCAATTTATATGATTCAATACAGTGTGATGTGAACAGTAAATCAGTACCCTAAATTATCCGATTCAACAATATATAGAGTCTGCACCAATTCCAATAAATCAATATCCAATCTGATTAAAATACAGATGTATATTTCGTTTTGTTTTTTTATACTTTCGATGGCCTACACTACATGAAGATCTGACCAATCGCACAAGCAGCTTTGACCTTATGCCGTCAGACAATTGATTAATCAAGCAGCGTTGATATAACAGACTGTTTCATTGGCTAATCCCTCACTTCAACCAGAACGCCGGTGATATAGCAACTCTTCCAGATCCTAGTGTAGTAAAGATAAGTAAACGAAATAAATTTTGAACTATAAAAAACAAAACGAAATAGGATTTTTAATCAGATTGATCCATCCAAAATTAATTCCACTATTTTTAAAACTTGAAACAATCTAACATAAAGAATTTAGTTATAGCTGCCAAGATATACCTGAAAATGATATACATATAATGTACATCATGATTCTATCTTCACAATATGTTGACCATGTAAACCAAGTCTATAACTCAAACTGAATCAGTATTGATACTGTAATACCAGTAGAAACTCTGCGATATACTGGTAATTATATTAACAATCATACACAATGGAATACATTCTACTATTAATTACTTACACAGTATTCACAGACGACCATCTAAATCTACATTATTACCATCTTCAACAATATCATATGGACTGAATAATACTCCACTCGTATTATGTACTATGCTGCTAATTAGAGGTTCTTGAACATTATTTTATAATGCCAATATTTTCAACCAGGGTCCAACACAATACTTCTGCCATGCAATGCTATTTTTTTCTGCCTACTCTTTTTCTGTTTTCCAACTGTCATAGGTTCTTTTACATGCACACAACAAATAAAACATCTAGCCACACTTTTCTCGTTAGTGAATCAGCCCCAACCTCTGTCAAGTGAAAGGTTGTCTTGAAAAATCCAAATAGATATTCTCAGCTGCCAGTTCCCTGCCCAATTAACTACCATAACCCCCAAAAGATGCTAAAACGTCTAATAACATTACATGGATTGAAATAACTGTAAGTTCAGACAGAAATAATTTCAACAAGGAAAACAATATCTGTTGCAATAAACACCTGTAATTGATCCAAAACTAAAACAATGTCTCCATCAGACTGATAAAACATTGGAAAAAACTTCGAACACACTGCTCAGTTTGGTTGTTACACAATAAAATAACTTCCAAGTAAAAATCAAAGACTGTTAAAATCAGTCCGAACAAGATTAAAATGCATAAAAAAGAGAAATAAATTAACTAAACCCAAACTAAATATTACTGAAAATATAGCTGACAGATATCTTGTACTGAAGACACCAGACCAAGATATAATGATTAACCTTTTCAAAATGATTGCTCCCGTCAGCCATGGCAACAAGTTACATTTTTCACACTTCCAAATACAAATTTAACAAAGGTACCAACACACCCACTCAGACAAAGCTAAATATCAAAAGCTAACAAACATTTGGAATAATTAAGCAATGTAGATTTACTAGGCACAATTAATTACACTGGATCTCGACTTCCACCATCCTCCAAATACAGAGAGAGAGAGAGAGAGAGAGAGAGTCATTTCGGGACTAACAAATGGCATATTTTTTTTCAATAATTTATATGAGGGGATCTTTAGCAATGGGTGGAAACCAGTGAAAATCCATATGGTCAGCAAGAGGATCCTACCCCCTTTTAAGTACAAGCCTGGGATTGAAACCTCAGTACCTAAATCGATGAAAACAGGCCTTATGATCTAAACCGCATGTTAGACTACTATCTATTCGGCACCTGGGACCAAGATAACCAACATTTGGACGTAAACAAGTGAATATCATATTAACTAATTTCAATGTTGACATAAATGGAGAGTACACAATATAAAATGTACATTTTTAACCGATGTCACCATGATGGAGATCCAACAAATGCTACAGATCAATAATCAAACATTTTGATACATAAACAAAGCTTGTGTTGTAACATCCAGGATGTTTTATAATGATAAAACTAATTTTAAAAATCTAACATCAGTTCAAAATTTGAATAAACATATCACATCTGTATTCACATGCAGTCCTGCTCATTTTGTTGTTCACTTGTTATAACAATATTAACACACTTGCGACTGTGCAATAAATCAAACATGACATGACTACAACAGCACAGCAGTGATAAATGTTCCGATGAGCAGCGAGTCTAATATTTATTTGCTCAATCTATTTCTAGTTATCTGATACTCATCAATAATCAATCACCTGATCCGATACATAACTTTTTTCACCCTATGTAACTCACATTCCAATGATTAATATACCGACGTATGTATGGAGTGTTATTTAAAGGTATATAGTATGGTATTGTCCTTTAGTTTACACTTTAGTATTTGAAAAACATATTTTGTACAATGTTTGTATCATTTGATATGAGTTAATATCTTGCCGTGTCCATAAAGATTCTTAGCTAGATAAATACTGACCTTTTTATTACATAATCGAATAATAGACGTGCACTCCAATTTAAACGCGGAGTCTCCTTTAATTACAAAATTTTGTTGTCAAAATACCCATGTTTCAAACACCCTCTTTTCAAATTGTGGAAGAATGTAGGAAACGTAAAGCAATTATGGGGTTCGAAAGAGAATAACGACTAATCAAAATGTTTTGATGTATTCATATAATGATTGAGAATGATAACCAAGGTAAAAAGTCACTGAAACTTCTGCTCATGAAGGAATCAAGAGAAATCTTTGTTTTCTCAAACAAATACCAAAGATAGGTGTCCAGGCAACATAACATATCCCACAGCAGCTAAATCGCCTGAGTGGTTGATAAGGGATGTCACATATTTATTCATTTGTAGGTAATGGGGGGGGGGGGCATCTATATAAGACCATTTGATACAGATCAGATTATAAATTCCATCGTTTGAGGGTTCAAAAGGTTCTACAAACTGAAACAAGGGCCTTTAACTCTGGAAGTAATTTACAGAAATTGTTAAAATTTGACAGGATCTTTCATCTTACGATTTAAATAATGCATATAATCTTCATACAGATCGGATGATAACTTTTGTTGTTAAGAGCGTTCAACAAAGTGAAACAAGGGCCATAACTCTAGACAAAATTGACGGTAATTGCTGAAATTCAATAGGACTCTTCTTTTCACTAATTTAAATGATGCATATAACTTCCATACAGGTCGGATGGTAACTTTTAGAGCGTTCACAAGGGCCATAACTCAGAAGAAATTAACGGAAATCATTGAAATTAAATAGGATTCTTCCTCTCACTGATGTAAACAGCATACATCAATTTCAAAACAATCAGATGATAAAGGCAGTCTGTAGAGTGTTCACAAGAAATTGTGGTCAACGGACAGATGTACATGCATACGTACAGGGCGACGCCAATATATGAACACATTTCCATGTGGCCATATTTAAAAACCGATGTCCAGGGCAAAATTCTCAGCCATGCACTCCTACTTCATTCTAAATTAAGATTTTGTAATTTGACACCTTTGTAAAGAGAGGACTTTTTATAAATGTAAATTAAAATGTAAACATCAGCATTACCCAAATGTAAGGCCAAACAAACTTGATTTGCAGTTACATACGTATTCATAATCTTGTTAATAAATAGCCTCAATTTACTTAGGAGAAGATTAATGTAATTGTATTCTTTGTTTTTAAAATACATTTTTCCAAAGATTACTCAACATCTCTAAAGTATAATGCATAAACATAATTACACAAACAAATTACTAACTTAGAGAGAGAAAAATGGGGTTTAGCGTCCACTTGACACAAATCAGATCATTTCAAGACTAACATATGGTTCAATTTTGTTTAAAAATTTGCTTGGGGTTTTTCGCAGTAGGAGGAAACTGGAGCACCCTGAGAAAACCCACAAGGTTGGACAGGCAACCCTAATCCTTGTCAGTACAAGCGGGGAATCGAA